GTAAATAACTATCTATTTTAACATCCCAATCACAAGACCCAGCCCACCAATATTAAGTAACTCTATTTATTTCTTTTAATACATTAATATCTCCAGTGCCTCTTGTTTATTACCACGCTCCTAACGTTAGTATCTAAACAATTAAAAATGTGATCCTTGCGTGCCAAGTATTACTTGGATTTGTAATATGCATGATGCGATGAGGCTGTTTACATATTGGGGTGTTTGTACCACAATTGCTTAATTATACCTCCTCACCCCCCTTCATGGTTGATTAAAGCCCTCCTTTACTACTATAACTAATTTATCACTCAAGAGAATAGTACCCCTTCTGTTGAGATGGAGGGTATCAGAACTGTACAATCCCCTCTCTTCATATTAAGTGTTCCAGTGTTCCACAAAATCAAAACCTCCCTCCCTATGCCATCTACTTAGCCATCTGTTCACCTCCAGTATCTTCTGCCTTCTTTTTTTCCCTCTTGCTCGAGGAACAGGAAGAATTTCTGAGATGATTATGTGGATATTCCTCTCCTTCAGCATTCTTTCCAATCCAGAATCTGTGGAATGGTACCTTATGTGGTGTCACTCATGTCAATGTAGATCACCACCAAAGGAACCAATCTTAGAATCTTGCTTATTCTTGTGGTGGTGTCCGTAATCTTTGCTCCTAGAAGGCAGCAAACTCTCCTGCTATCCTTCTGTCCCTTGCAAAATGTTGTACCCTTTCTTCTTACCATAGAACCACCCTCTGGGCTTGCTATCCAATCTCTCTCCCCTTTCTCAGTCCCTGTCTCCTTGCTCAGCCAGTCCTAGTCTGCTTCTTTCCCCAATTATTTGTATGAGCCCGGGGTCCTTCCCCCACCATAGCGGCTCTCTCGTTATTACAGTCTGCTTTTTTCCTTCCCCCCCATTCTGGCTTTTGTCCCTATATATTTGAATCAGGCAGCTTCCTCTTCTCTTCTGCTAGCAGCCATGCAGTGTGGATAATTAAGAGCATGAGAGAGAGGCTTCCTGCCTACCGTTTTGGTGCCTGGCCCCATCCAACCTAGAGCAGTTGGGATCAGTCTTCTCAGAGAAAGTCCTTCTGAGCCCCCATAGCTCTGGGTTAGAGCATGCACAGTCACTATGTGGGGATGGTGGATGTGCAGTCTGATCAGACCACACCACACGATCCATTGTCTACTGCCAAGCTCTACGATACAACTACATTTGCTTGAACCCCTCAGACAGAGACAAATGCCTACATGATCTCTATCAAGCATTCTTACAACTACAGTACCCACCTGCTGAAGTGAAGAAACAGATTTACAGAGCCAGAAGAGCACCCAGAAGTTACCTACTACAGGACAGGCCCAACAAAGAAAACAGAACGCCACTAGCCATCACCTTCAGCCCCCAACTAAAACCTCTCCAACACATCATCCAGGATCTACAACCTATCCTGAAGGACGACCCATCGCTTTCACAGATCTTGGGAGACAGGCCAGTCCTTGTTTACAGACAGCCCCCCAACCTGAAGCAAATACTCACCAGCAACCACACACCACACAATAGAACCACTAACCCAGGAACCTATCCTGCAACAAAGCCCGTTGCCAACTGTGTCCACATATCTATTCAGGGGACACCATCATAGGGCCTAATCACATCAGCCACACTATCAGAGGCTCGTTCACCTGCACATCTACCAATGTGATATATGCCATCACGTGCCAGCAATGCCCCTCTGCCATGTACATTGGTCAAACTGGACAGTCTCTGTGTAAAAGAATAAATGGACACAAATCAGACGTCAAGAATTATAACATTCAAAAGCCAGTCGGAGAACCCTTCAATCTCTTTGGTCATTCGATTACAGACCTAAAAGTTGCAATTCTTCAACAAAAAAAACTTCAAAAACAGACTCCAACAAGAGGCTGCTGAATTGGAATTAATCTGCAAACTGGATACAATTAACTTAGGCTTGAATAGAGACTGGGAGTGGATGGGTCATTACACAAAATAAAACTATTTCCCCATGTTTATTCCCCCCCCCCCTCGCTACCCCCCACTGTTCCTCAGATGTTCTTGTCAACTGCTGGAAATGGCCCACCTTGATTATCACTACAAAAGGTTCCCTCCTCCCCGCCCCAACCCCCCTCTCCCCGCTCTCCTGCTGGTAATAGCTCACCTTATCTGATCACTTTCATTACAGTGTGTATGGTAACACCCATTGTTTCATGTTCTCTATGTATATAAATCTTCCCACTGTATTTTCCACTGAATGCATCCGATGAAGTGAGCTGTAGCTCATGAAAGCTTATGCTCAAATAAATTTGTTAGTCTCTAAGGTGCCACAAGTACTCCTTTTCTTTTAGGAGCTGTGAGAGGCTTCAGCATGCTCCGTGGGGATGGACTCTGAAGTTTTTAGCTGTTAAGGTCTAGCAGCCAGTCTCTATTAAGCATGTGCAAATTGAGATTTTTCAAATGCTTATAACTCATCCAAATTTGGGTGGAATTTCACAGGGACTGCAAAAGGCACATTTTTGACACAAGTCCAAAGCATGGGGAGTACTAGAACATTTCAAAGAAAAGGTCTCCAGATTTGAAGTAAGGGGAAATGTGTTTTTCCCTCACATCGTTTTCAGAAATTGCGGAACCGTTTTGGCTAAAACAAATACAGAAATTATCAGCCTGAGGCAGAGAGCTCCCATGAAAAAATTCAGCTTAAACAGTTAGTCTGGCAAAGTTGTAAGCAACTAAAACACGGATCTTATAATGAGAAGTGTCAGGCAACCTTAATAGGCAGTTACCAGCGTTGCTTATAATCACCTCATACTTCCCCAAGCTTCTGATTTCTCTCGGAGGCCTGCAGGTTATTATTCTCACTTGGGGAGATACCGGTTTAAATCTAAAGGTCAGTACAAGTCTATCGTATGCCATCTATAAGCCACAGAGTGGGTAGTTAGACAAGAGTTTTTTTAGTTCATGGTGGAAGAAAGCTTTGTTTCCTACAATGAGGTAAGAAGGATTATTTACAGGGTTGGCTTAGTTGTTCCTATTATCTCTCTACTCTTGTTTTGGGCCTTTTTTTGACACCAGCTTTCTCCTCTTTGGGAAAGGAGAATAAGCTGGCTTCAATGTGTACTTAAAAACCCATGCAAATTTGAACAATCCTCTGCCTATTCTCAAGATATTCTCAAGGACCTAGATGAATTTAAGTTAAATAAATGGTCCAAGTTTCTTGTGTGACGGGAAGGTTGGTCAACTACATGAGACATTTCCCCCTTTTCTTATTAGCTTATGGGCTAAACCTTGTAGCTAAAATGAAGAATACTGAGCTCTCTTGCCAACTCTACCCTGAGCCTGCTTCTCCAATTTAAAAGAATAAAATAGTTTCCGGCTGTTCACTGTACTTAATTGTAACAGTGATTCAAAGTTCAATTTGATGAACTTTTATTGTACTTACAATGGTTTTGATATGCTTACTTTTTCTTTCCTGACATAGCACATCTTTTACTGAATTGTTTTCAGTATTTGTTGTTTAGTATTTCCTATTCCTCCTCTCCAATCACTTGTGTATCTTCCTTCTTTCCTTACATTGGTCTTCTGTTCTTCCCCCGCTCCCCTTAAATCTCTGTCCCCTACTTCTCTCTTCCAGTTCATCCCCTTACTTTCCCACACACACTCAATCATATTTGGACGTCCTCCCTCACCTTGAAAAAAGAATGGAGTGTCTGCTCTTCTCCTTGCTGTCTCTTCTTCCCTATCAAGGAAACTCGTAGTAAGCAGCTCTTGAGCCCCACTTACACCATTTGTCTGCTCCAAACTTCCACACAGCATGAGCAGGTGGTATTTCTGTTTGTCACTGATCATCATTACCAAGTCTGGCAATGTAAAATTACAATGACAGATGATACTTCTGTTTTAGCTGTAGCTTCTTCTTGTGTTAGTAAGATGGTTTAGGTAGCTTATCAACAAATATTGCTTCAGTGATGAGTCAGCAGAGTCCAGTATGGTTATTACTGGATATAGCATATAAAATGTGAAGACGACACCAAGCCAGGAGTGGTTGCAAGCACTTTGGAGGACATGATTAGAATTAAAAATGACCTTTTTAAATTGGAAAACTGGCCTGAAATCAACAAGATGAAATTCAATAAAGGCAAATGCAAAGTACTACACTAAGGAAGGAAAAATCAAATGCACAATTACAAAATGGGGAATAACTGGTTAGGCAGTAGTACTGAAGAAAAGGATTTGGGGGTTGTAGTGGATCCCTAAGTGAATGAGCCAACACTGAGATGCAATTGCCAAAACAAACAAAAAAAGAGCTAATATCTTCCTGGGGTGTATTAACAGGAGTGTCCTAGCTAGTATCTTCCTGGGGTGTATTAACAGGAGTGTAAGGCATGGGAAATGTTCCACTCTACTTGACACTGGTGAAGTCTCACTGGAGAATTTTGTCCAGTTTTGGGTTCTGCACTTCAAGAAAGATATAGACAAATTGGATGGAGTTCAGAGAAGAACAAAAATGATAAGTTTTGGAAAATATTACCTATGAATAAAGGTTAAGTAAATTGTGCATGTTTAGTCTTAAAAAGACTGATAAGTCTTAAAGTATGTTGAGGGCCTTTATAGGGATGACAGTGATCAGTTGTTCTCAGTGTCCAGTGAGGATAGGACAAGAGGTAATGGTCTTAATCTGCATCAAGGGAGATTTAGGTTAGATATCAGGAAAAAATTTCCAACTCCAAGGATAGTTAAGCACTGGAATAGGCTTTCAAGAGAAGTTGGGGAGTCCCCATCACTGGAGGTTTTAAAGAGCAAGTTAGACAAATACTTGTCAGGTATGGTCTAGGAATACTTGGTCCTGCCTCAGTGCAGGGTGGGGTGGACTAGGTGACCTCTTGAGGTTTCTTCTAGCTTTATATTTCTATTATTCGGTATAAAAAAGCTTGATAAATAAACTAGAAAGTGGTGTTCTTTGATTATAACTGGTTCCTTCTTTCACTTTTTAGACTCTGAAGGAGTGATGGCTTGTGGTTATTGCAGTAGATTGTGTGTTAGGACAGAGTTCTGCCACTGATTACACCAAGTGTCCCTGAGCAAATCACTTACATACTTTGCGCAACCGTTTACCTACCTGCAAAATGGGTGGCATACTAAAGCACCTTGCCGGTGAGTTGATGGTTAATTAATGTCTAAAGTGCTTTGATGAAAGCTGGTGTTAAAATAATAAAAGTCGTTGTACCTTTATTGCAACTTTTTTCTGGTTATCTTTAAGAACTTTAAAAAGGTATTATCTCCCTTTTATAGTTGGAAAAACGGAGGCACAAAAAGGTAAAGTGACTTCCCAAATTCTTGCAGTCAATAGAAGAGTTGGGAATATAAATCAGATTTTTTTTTATTTTTTTGATTCCCCTGCCTTAACCATTAGACTGTGTGCTGCAACCCTGTCTGTAGAAAGAACTGGACCTCTGTTGCGAGTCTACAGCTCCTCTTCTACTAACTCTTTTACCAGTGCCAAAAGGACTCTTGCAATTTTTTTTTGTTTGGTTGGTTTTTTGGCTACAACAAAGTCGATAATTGGAGTACCACAGGATGTCATGGGTGAATCATGCACCCACTAATGCCACTGTCACTTGGGATTTTCCCAACTTTTTTGGCTCCATCTGTTTGCCTAGTCACTTTGTTTTCCTCTTTCCTCATGTGCTGGCTCCCTGACACACAGTTGCCAATACCCATTAGACTGCCTTCCTTTCTTTGTGTCATCCCTCCAACAGTTTCCGATTTCTACACCTCTTTTCTTTCCTGAACCCCACCTCAGATCTTCAGAATTCTTGGCTGGGAGTTGAAATTGTTTCCTGGATGTCACAACAGAATAGATACAAAAGCATTTTCCATCTGATTTTACCTTGCTCCTACAACCATAATCATTTCTCACAATATCTTGAGTTACAGCAAAATATTTTCTATACCTGTTTTGGTTAGGTGGCAAAAGCTGATGTAGCAAGGGAATGGCTAAACACAATGGACTGAGTGGTAGTGCAATAGCAAGCAAAACCATTTCTTGTACAGCTATGACAACCTGCAATTTTACATAGTAATTTAATAATGTAAGACAAGTCACTGGTTCAGTTTTTCTATTTCAAAAAGACACCTTGTGCTTCACTAACAATTCATGATTTTCAAATGTAATATGAAAAACATTCTGCCAAATCAATGCAAGATAAAAGAAATAAATTGCAGCATGTCAGATGAATTCTAAACAAAACATGAATCACAAACTACCTTCCTCTAATTCAAGTGAGCGGTCTGAATGGCTTTTTTCTCCTTCGAGAATTGGCTGCTCATTCTCCCTGAATGTGAATCTGGAATCCTAGAAAATCAGTGACAGGAGTACTTAGGCACTTCCTTGCCAATTGGAATGTTTGGAATTAAAGTTAGGTGAGTACCCTTGTCCTGACTCCGCTCTCATTCCATTTTTGTAACCTCTGCAGTAGAGCACTCTGGATCCCTTGACATGCGCATGTGTAAAATAAATGTTCTGGGCCCCAGGGATATATTGATTACTGTACATAGGCCTAGCATTTGAGTGCTCTCTGCTACCTTGTCCTCAGTTACACATATACATGTTTCTGCTCTGCAGCATTGTGATGCAGTTTATGAATCCCAGACTGGCCAGGAAGGGTTAATGAGGTGCTCCAGGCACCATCAGCAACATCTGATTAATGTACAACAGCTGTCAGGTTTGGAAGGGGTGGTTAAAAGAAGAGAACCAGCTCAGTTCAGAGCTGATTAGAAAGGAGAGCAGACCGGCAGCTCCCATATTGTACGAGAAGCCTGGCTGGGGCCAGAAGTTGAATGAAGACGGTGGTCTGCAGAGGGTAGGACTGACACAGACTGTTGAATTTCTTACCAGGAAACCTGCTCATGAGTGCTATGGCAAGACACTGATGCTGGAGTCTGCCTGAAAGGAAGGGAGCTAAAAACTGAGCCCAATAGAACTGAAGATTCTTTTGGTTTGTGTTTATGTTGGACTTCGACTTGGAGACTCTGCTACCCTGAAAGGAGGTAAACTCTGTGACTTGGCTAAAGGATAAGCCACATCCATAAACCAAAGCGTGCTGAAAACTCTGTTTGGAAAAGTGAGGCAGAACTGCTCTAGTGCTACATCATGAGGGGAGAGACAGGGACTGCATTTGTGCCACAAGAATCTTATCATACTACTCTTCCAAAGGTTCTGTAAATGAGAATTGGTGTGCTGCACAGAAGACGTTACAGCAAAACCCAGCTCCTTTTTCAGAGTCTCTGGATGGAAACATGAGGAACACAACTCTCTTTCCCAGATTATTTTGAATTGAAGACTACAGGAGGAGGATGGCTTCAGTTTTGGACCATCCAGAACAAACTTCTTAAGTTGTCTTTACATGTTGGAAATGAAGCACAGGGGCAGGTTAATGTTGTTTATTAATGAAAGCTTCCTGGAATCTTTGTAGTGGTCCCTCACACTTGAGTAGGGGGGAGGCCATGCTGCCTCACTGCTGGCAGATTGCAGGTAACCGTCTTACAGGGGAGAGTTCCAGCCCCTGGGCGGAGTGAAGCACAACAGTGTTTAGCCCACAGCCACCTGGCTGGGGCAGACAGGAATTAACAGCCTATAATTAGTCTATCAGGGAGCTCTGGCCCTCTGGGCGGGGCAGAGACACAAACAGTCTTTAGCTTAGCCTGCAGCCATGTGGCTGGGGCAGACAGCTACAAACAGTCTGTAGAGGGACTCTGGCTTCCTCTGGGTGGAGCAGAGCCACAAACAGGGCTCTGGCCTATATTCAAGGCAGAGCTGTAGCAGTCTAGGGGCTCAGGCAGGGGGTGAGTACCAAAGCAGTCTAGGGGCTTAGGCAGCGGGTGAGCGCCAACACAGGCCTCCTGGCCTATGGAGGGGAGGCTGCCGCCCCAGGGGTGGAGTGGCAGGGGGTAGGGGGACACGGTCCCACCTGACTCCACAGCGTCCCAGTCCAGGGCCCCTAACAGTGGCAGAGTGATCTGCCACTGGGTCAGCGGGATTCCAGCCACAACATGCTGACTCTCACTCTGGCAGCAGAACCGGACTAGAGTCTGATCCCCGTGGGCTACTTCCTACCTCAGTCTGTGTGTAAAGTCCAGTGGTCCAAAGATCCCCTGTCTCCTCCAGGTCTTTGGCCACTGGTAATGCCAGCAGCTCCTCGGGGTCCTTGTCTGCCTCCCTTGATGGCAAGGTGCCAGTCAACTCTGGGGCTGGGTTGGGCTCTCACAGAGGCATCTGCTCCCTAGAAGAGATGTCCACTCTCTCCTGTGGCTCAGCAGCAACTGATCTCCAGCGCTTTCCTTTTCTACTTCCTGTCCCGCCCTAATACTTCCGATGAGGGGGGTGGGGGTGGATTTGGCTCCGCCCACCCAGGGGACTGTAATGGTCCCTCACACTCCAGTTTGGAGAGAGGCCATTCCACCTTACTACACTCTTCTTCACATCTAGGTTAAACTACACCTGAATTTCTAACATTAAAGGTGAAGCTTTATTAGGTGCTTGCATGAAAGTTCAGCTCTTTCCCCAGCGTCCTGCTCCTAAATGCCTGGTTTTGCCTATTCTGTGACAGAAAACCAGGCACGACAGAGGCTTCCTATTTATACTTCAGGAAAAAGAAATGAAGAAGCTACATTTTATTGAATGGAAAATCTGTTAGTGTTATAGCTCAAAGTCACTGATTACTAGTCAATGATGCCAAAATATTACTTCATTTTGGCGGAGTCTATGTGTAATATGCTTCTTATTCTTCATCAGCTCCAGAAGCCTAAAAGTTGTTTGTCTCTGTGAAAGAACAGGGCAACAAGACGTGCATTGACAGTATATGTTACATTGCACACAGCTCTGTCTGTGGTTCTACTATCACTATGTAGTTACATCAGTTGAGGAGCTTTGGCTGGTTCCCTTGTGTCCAGATCTGTGTAGAGGACCTTTTAAGAGCTAGACCCTTTTAGCATAAAGACAGCTGAGTCCCGTGGAAAAATGGTGCCATGTCTCCTCTCCATTTCATAGGTTTCTTTTGCTTTTCATTATGAAAAAGGTTTTTAGGCAAATGCTCAAAAGTTGCCTGTGATGTGTCTTGCTTTTTGAGCTAAATAAGATCTTGTAGATTCTATATTTGTAGTTGCCATCTCTTTAAATCCAGTATTTGTCTTGTGTTTTAGCTATTAAGGTACATTATGAAGCTGTGTAACTTTAAGATGTTCAAACTAGGCATTGATAGTTTTTTACTCCACACCAACAGCAAACCTTTTTTTAGTGTGAGGTGATTTATTTACTCCTTGACTTTATGAATACTTTTTGAATTAGCTTATTTCTTTTGCATGGGATTATTTTGGAGGGTACAAAATGGATGTAGAAGTACAATATTGAAATATGTTTTTAGATATAGTCTCTTCCTGTCTCATCTAAATAAGAATTATATGGTTCTGGATATTGATTTTTCAATCCCACCAGGAAACAAGTGACTCTGTATTACATGTTTCAGAGTAACAGCCGTGTTAGTCTGTATTCGCAAAAAGAAAAGGAGTACTTGTGGCACCTTAGAGACTAACCAATTTATTTGAGCATGAGCTTTCGTGAGCTACATCCGATGAAGTGAGCTGTAGCTCACGAAAGCTCATGCTCAAATAAATTGGTTAGTCTCTAAGGTGCCACAAGTACTCCTTTTCTTTCTGTATTACATGAGGGGGTCATTGTAGTTACCAGTTTTGAGAGTTTTTCTACCAGAGGACAGGTTTCAGAAGCTGGTGGCTACAGTAGAGTCAGTTATTTAGTCACATTTGCCAGGGCTCTGACACTGCTATTCAGGAGAGCAATATTACTATTAATGTGGTTCCATGGGTGAAATTCCACATGCATCCTCTGCAGAAATTTCCTTTTTTTACCTGAACCCACAGGACCATTCATACCTATCTTGTCTAGTCCCAATGCTGAAAGGAGTATTGCAATCTTTCTCGTTTTAGCTACAAGAAAGTAGATAATTGGAATACCACAAGATGTCAAAATATCAGAGGGTTGGTGGTGACCATCAATACCAGTTTCATCGTCTGGAGAACTTGTTCAGGGACCAACTTCACCCACATATAACAGACAAGCAAAGTTCCTGCATTTTTAG